GAACAGGAACCTGCTGTAAAACAGCAATTATGCTGAGTCAGGCTTGATTTTTAGTAATCTTTTCCTGTTAAATAAATAAATCAAATCAATCATTTATCATAGTTTCTTAGGCCTAGCTTAGCCACAGATTTCAGCACAGAAAAAAATAAATAAATCTAAAAATGCTGTTGGATTTAACTTGTATTTTTATATTTGTGAGGACTTGCATTGACTAACCATTAATTTCTACAATCTAACCCTGACCCCTTACCCCTAAGCCTAAACTCACAGGTGCATACCTGACCCTAACCTAAACTTAATTCATACTTTACCCCTGACCCACAAATAGTTTTCCCTTCTTTGGAGCATGCAACATGTCCAACAATGACAAACTGACCACGATTTTTTTTCCAAAATGCAAATCAAAACCAAACCTGTAAGAAAACTGCTTCACGGTAAAACAACCATGTCTCCAACTCCATCAGCTCCTGACTCCTCACACTGTTGCAGCTTGTTGAAAACTAGTGATGCAACAGAGCGGTAAACATGGCCCTGTCCCAACTTWTGGCAATAAATTCAGAATGCATACACCTTTTAAAAAAAAAAAAAAAAGTTTCCTCGGTTTCAACATTTAAAACTTTCTCGTTCACTTTTGTTCAGTTTAAACCTCTGAGCCTGGCAGAGTTTTGGAAACGGAGCTGCAAAAAACTGTTTGGAGAAATGGCGCCAAATACTACTGGTTCCAGCTTACGCCTTCGTAAATATGTGAATGTCTTCTTTTGATTCACTGGAGTGTGTGTGTGTGTGTCTGTGTGTGTGCGTGCAGGCTTTGAGCTCGGAGCTGGCCAACGCTCGGGACGAGACCAAGAAGACGGTGAACGACATGATCCACGCGGAGAACATGAAGGCGGGCCGCGACAAGTACAAGACCCTGAGACAGATCCGCTCCGGGAACACCAAACAGCGCATCGACGAGTTCGAGTGCATGTGATGCGGGCGTTCGCCGATGCACGGGGGGCCCAGAGCRGGGGGTGGCCACGCTGCCATGGACTGCTGTCCTGCTTCCACCCCGAGCTGCTTCCTCCGTTTCCCCAAAACCAATCAGCTCAGCAACATATCGTGGCTGCGAAAGCAACGGCACACTGTACAGAACCGGAAAATTCCAATTATTATTAATATTATTGTTTCTAAATTAGGTTTTTAGGCAAGTCACTGGTTTTAAAGGGACATACTGTATTTTTAGTAGTACATTCCTGATAAAGGGGTTTATGTAGCACATTAGCTAAGGGCTCCTGCCTCTGTTTTTTGACACGGCGAGCAAGAACTTTTAGTTTCTATGTAGTTTTTTTTCTGTCACCGTTTTTATATCCTGGTTTCAAAATAAAAGCTTCAGATGTAAATTGAAAAGGTAAACTCTGGGCAGCACACACATTTCTACTGAATTTCTTCTTCTCCCTCCCCTTTACATCCAATATGGTTCTGTGTTTGAGGAGGATTATTACACCAGTATTATGTTTATTTTTTTGCTTTTATTTGAATTTTCTGCCATCTGTTACAATTCAGACAGGGTTTATAATCTCAATGTGACTTTAAAGATTTACAAGAGGTTTGGTTAATTTACAAATTAGGGTTTTTTAAATCAAAACCCTCAATTGACGGAAAAATATCAAAATAATTCAAAACTATTGACAAATAACTTTCCTTTGGCATAAAATTTAGTTAAACAAACCCTGGTCAGTTGACTATTTTATTTCTAAATTTGTTTGAATTGACAATTGGATTTACTGTAAATAAAGTAACAGGARCTAAATGTAGTCAGTGATTTCAATTTTATTAAATGAATTTAGAAGTAGACATCATAATTGGTGGACGTTTGCCGATAATTTAACTACCTAAATCCATAATTTTAATTCAAGACTAATAGTTCCATCAAACAAATAAAAAAATATCTTTTTAAATGTGCACTGGAAGGTCATAGTTTACTTGAAAATTAATCAAAATGCAGCCAGAAATGAACAAATTTTCAACTTTGTGTATTTTAAACAGATTTTACTTTGTGTTTTTATAATTGGGGTTTTACAGTTGTGATAAAAAATGTATGATGCCAAAAAAAAGTGTCACTTGAGTTTATTTTTGTACAACAAATCCCCAAACTCTTGTCAGAAACAGCTGCTTTAGAGCATTTTGAACTTCCTGAAGAATTGGCAGATATGTGAAGGAACAAACGGACGATGAAGGTTGTGTCGATGAACGCAGATATTTGTGCCATAAACTAAACGAATTAAAGCAGAAATTTGTACAAAATAAATACAAGCTTCCTTTGGTGCCATTTCCCCAAAATGATTTGTTGTGTCAAGTCATGTAGAAATTGATGTTTTAACAGATTTATTTACACAAATGTATTTTAGAGATGGATATTTTTGCAGATTTGTTTTTATTTTTTTCATGCCTGTTACTGAATGAAAAACTTGTACCAGGATGGGGATTTTTTCATCCACATACAGTCTGTACTCCTGTTTTCCACACCTTGTATGAACCGTGTGTTTAAAAAGCAAACAGGAAGTGGTTTTTCTGCCTGAAGCGTTGTGTTTCAGCACCATGATCGGAGCAAACGGTCCTAAAAGTTGCYTGTAATGTTTGGAGTCAGAAAAGGACTGAACGATTGTAAACTGACAGACAGTGCCTTGCCCAGTTTATTCATCAGATCTTGCCTCTTTTTGTCTTTTTCATTCATTAATAAAAGTTTAAAGTGCTTGCTCTTTTTCTGTCCCTTTTTGAAAGCAGAAAACTGTGTSTTGATCTACTAATCGATGTAAAAACTGTGGAAAAAGTAAAGTGAACAGTGAACGGTTTAAGCTGTGAATGAAACTCAAGGTCTGTGCACTAAACGTGGCTCTCCACTGCATTTTATGTGGCCCATGAGAGCTACAAAGATGTATTAAAATGGCTTGACCTTRTATAGTGCCAAGTCCATTTGGATCCCAAAGTGTTTTACACTTCAGTCATTCACACACTGATGGTGGTAAGCTAAAGCCACAGCTGCCCTGGGGCACACTGACAGAGGCAGKGATGCCATGCACCGGTGCCACCAGACCCTCTGACCACCACCAGTAGGCAAAAAATAAGTGTATGCTGTTTCAAAGCCAGCATTGACAAAGAACTACAGCTCCCATAATGCATGTTGATTATTTTACCCACAAAATAACATCATCCCCCCACTAGGTGGAGGTGGACATGGTTTAAAAGTAGCTGGCAGCTGGTGAATTTTGCAATTTGTGTAAAATCTCCATTTCTCTGTGTTTACACTGGATRCTTTTGCTGCAGCCCAGTTGTACTGGGAAGTGAGAATCTCCCAGTTAAATTTTATAAATGTAAACACCCCTTCAGTGAGAGAGTTATKAATTTAAGACAGCAGCTACTCCTCACCTTTCTTTCTACTGTTTTTTTATTTTATTTATTTATTTTTTGTGGTGGTGGTGGCCCCAACTGAAATCTGATTGGCCCACTGAAGTGCCCCTGTCCTGTCTCTCATGATCTGTCCTTCACCTGGGRGCGATAATGATGCAGTTCCATGTCCAAACACTAGAGGCACTAATGAGACAAATAGGAAAGTCCAACATGAACCAAGCTTACAGAAATCTTCTTCTAAAGAAAGTCTGAACAATCCTGCAGAAAAAGTCTTTCAGCTGACAAACGATGCAGTGTGTTTGAGAGTATTTTATCTATGTACAGGGAAAATGTATGTAAAACTATTTAAAAAAATACATTACAGGTGTTTGAACAWGACTGGTTCAATGTAAACACTTTACCAAAACTGGGGATTTGTGTGAAAGGATGTTGAACAAACACTTGGCCCCTSTATGAGTACAGTGGCCCCTTTATGGCCCCTCATTCAGACAAATCCTAGATCCACCACTGGAGGGGGAGGTTGCAAAATCAACTTTTTGCAGTTTTATATCATGTCATTTCCTCATCAAAAGCATACCCAGTGTTGCTTTGACTCATTCATGCATGTTGGAGAAATCCTCGAATCTCCTGTGGCCATGTGGAGCTGCCTAAACACTTGCTGTTACGAAGCTCCGCCTATTTACACAAAGCTCCTCCCTGGAGCTCAGTCTGCAGCCGAGCTCCGGCCTTACAGCACCGCTACTCCAAAGCATTGTTGCAAATATGTGCCAATAACCCCCCCACCCCTTCCCTCACAGCTTTCTTCCATGTGACTGTGAGACCCATGAAYTGTATTTTTGTAACATTAGGTTGTTAAACGTGTTATTTTGTTGTTGTTTTTGTTTTTTTTTACATTGGTCTTAGGAACTTATTTTGTTGACAATAAACCTGATTCTAATTTGAGACAGAACAGCAGCAGTGGGAGGAAGTTTGGGTGAAATAAAAGCTTGCATTTKAATGTCCAGGGTGAGTCAAAAGTCTCAGGACAACAATTTATTTCATGTTTTTCACATATCTGAAAAACCCCAGCAAGTAATGGGCGAGGTGGTGATCATATTGGATCATGGGCAAGTTTTTTTCAAAAATAGTCACCCCTCCCCTCGCTCATTACTTGCTGAGGTATTTAAATATGTGAAATAAATGAAATAAAAGAGGGTCTTGTGACCAGTGACATCCACAAGGTGGCTCATTGCTTTTTGCCACATCAACCTCCATCTGCTTCAAAACAAATACACAAAGTTTCAGTTTGTTTTTTAAAACCTTTTTAAAAACTTTTTTATACAAGAAAACTGTAACAGCCAGTAAATCGTTCCTACACATAAAAGTACTCCGTGAATTTGAATTTAGTGTTAAAAACTCAACTCCACAGATGGTTTGAAGTCTGAACAACAGAGCGTGGCTGAAGAGGAAACCGCCTCACTCACTCTCTGTTTGGGAGTTCTGCAAATGATGTTCCTGCAAACAGAAATATAATTCAGTRAAATAAGTGTCACACACAAAACTGTCACATAAACCCCATTAGAAACAAACTTCTGCAACAAACCTGCAAACTGACAGGCAAGGAAATGAAAAAAAACTCTGTTTTCACAGTTTGAAAGTTTTAAAAATGAGCATCAACTGCAGAAAGCACCTGTCTCCTCAGTTTTTTTATTTTATTTTTTTATTTTCTTAAAGGCACATTTCCAGAACCACTTGCTCCCGCTGCCTGAGTGCAACTTTCAACACAAAAACACTGAAAACCAAGTATACTTTTACTCACTTTGATGCRTGTTTTACTTTTTCTGAACATTTTCTGTTATTTTTTTCTTTTTGTAATAGGAAATTGATCAAGCCCAAACATCAAAAAGCAGAGGTGRTTTTCCAACTTCCCCTGTTCTTGTGGTCTCAGTGGCCTAACGGGGCTGTTGAAATGTGTTAACACTCTAAACTGCAACTGTGAGATAAGCTGCTGCGAGTTTTCTTCACTAAGTGCACGACTGTAASGTTTCAGTAGCAATGAGTCAGTACTGCTGTTAGATTACTCCACTTCCTACAAACACTCAGGCCAGAGCTTTAGACCAAGATCATYGTACACTCAGAAACAGCCGAGTTGTAGCCRCTTTGCTCAAACCTTGAAAAAAATATGCTGCAAACTCATGGTCTTTCACGCTCAGAATATGTATTGTTAATGAGTCTCGGCTACAAACACGCAAAGTTTTAGCTCAATATCTGTAAAACTGACTGATTTATAACCATTATTGTTTCCAAATRTTAGTTGTCTGTGGTGACCATCTTGAATTGAGTTGACTCCAAAAGTTAATCAGGTGTAGATTTACATCCATTCATTATATTCTGAGAGTTTCTTTAAAATCCATCCAGTGGTTTGTGAAATATTTGTCTAACAGTCAGAGGTGATTTTAAATAGTTAATGGGAAAAAATAGTTTTTGTTTGTTGATCTGTTTGTGCTTAAAATATGTTTTTGGGATCTGTCTCAGCTACATTCTCACCAAATCTGAGCTAGATATAAATAAAACTCACTGAATTATAACAATTTTTGGGTTTTGTAACATCAGTTGGCTGTGGCGGCCATGTTGAATTGAGTTCACTTCATAAGGTAATCAGCTGTAGATGTACATCCACCAATTGTTTTCTGAAAGTTTCATTAAMATTTTCCWAGTGGTTCATGAGATATTTTACTAACACACACCCAAAACCTTCCTCACAGCAGGAGTGTTTCATTTTATTGATTGACGGTGTTCAGTTCTTTACGCAAACTCGATCTGCCACCTGCTATGGTTTGATGTAAAACGTTTGCACAATTTAGGTTTATTTTGCAGCTTAWTTCTGTTGAAACATGAGAAACAAGCTCAGAAAAGGAAACACAACAAGTTTTATCTGAGATCCATCAACAGACAAACTGTTTGACATCTAACATTTCAGAGTATTCTTAAAATAACTTATTGATTTTCACACAAGAATGCACTCAGTTCTCAGTAATGACCAAAACAGTTTCCATGTATGAGTTGGTGATTTCAGTTTAGTAAAAAGCATAAATATCGCTCACATCATTAAAACTTATCTGTTAGCCTGAAGAATCAACACAKTTCCTCAGGCTGATTAGTTGTGACAGCCAGTTTGAATGGGTTTGTTTCTGTTGGTCCAAACTATCCCATCACTTTAATCATTGCATCCATACCTACATGCATTTAAACATTTACATATCTGGTTTTGGGTTATAGACAATTCATTTTAACTTCATGGGTTGGTTTAACTTCACAATCAGCTGTGACATCCTAAATAAAGACATTACATCTGTTGAACCTTTGTTAGTCGATGTTCAAAGGACGACAAGATGCTGTAATAGTCAGGATGTGCTCAAACAAGAGTCTAAAACTCCCTAAACTGAACGGCCCTGGTCATACCTGCCACTAACACTGGCTCTGGATGTTTCAGCTGGGAGTGGACAGCTCTGCTTCAGTGTTCATACCAAAGAGTTATACTGGAAAGAGGCGTCACACACTTTAGAAGAGCTTCAGAAATAAATTTACTTTTACTTAGTTTACTTTTTCATTAGTTAGCTTCTGACCATTAGAAACATTATTCATTGCTGATGTGTGCACCTTGACAACATGTTTTTACCTGATATGATAATACACTACCCCTCCATCCATCCATCCATCCATCCACCCATCCATCCATCCATCCATCCATCCATCCATCCATCCATC